TTAAGGAGATGGAGGAGGAGAGAGGGAACTTGTGGTTGGAGGAGTTGAAACTGCAAGAATCAGACAGAATGTGTGATTAGAGGAACTACTCCTCATTGTGTGTCACTGTGTGTGTGTGTGTGTGTGTGTGTGTGTGTGTGTGTGTGAGTGTGTGTGTGTGTGAGTGAGATTTACACTACCATGACTGAATTTTGACAAGAACCTTGGGTATTTATTGGTTGAATTTCCCCACTGTTGTTGGAACACCAGCAAAATACTGCAGGGCATAAGAAGAAACTTGTACAAGGCTTCTGGGCGTGTTAGCAAGCTGGGATGAATGCCTTCCTTATGCAGTACAAAGAATCAATACCTAGTCTGTTGCAAAAATGACAAATTCACAAATTGGCCATCAAGAAACAGGACAACAAATCACCGTAGAATTAAATATTTTTGAGAACAGAATTAATGCAAAAATGCAACAAGAAATTGCTCAAAAGACGTAAATGTGTAAAGGGGAACCAACTGTAATAACATTTATAATGTTGTTTCATTCATCTGTCATTAAAATTTGCTTCAACTGGAGTTTTATATTTGCCTCTAATGCTTGTATAAATTATAGCTACATTGTTAACTTTTAGCATTTTACATCTGGTTAAAATCAAATGAAGCCTTAAATTTCATACAACCGTTTAGAATTTTCGTTAAAATCTACTGAAGTACTTTCAAGTTGAAGATGTGCCAAATTACTGTTCACAGAAACAATGATCTACAACATTTCCTCTCCTCCTCGTCTGCTTTATCTTGTAGTCTTGGTCTTGATTTAGGAGGGAAGGTTATCTAGGTTATGTAGGAAGAGAACACGGTGTAATCACAAATGGACACAGCTTAGATGCCTAAAATCCTGAACACACTTTGGAATGTTTCTTTTACACACCATTCCAAGTTCTACTTACCCTAATGACTATTTGAACCTCAGCATTAATATTAACTTTTCCATTACTATATGTATTTAGTTTGCACCAGTTGTAAATGCATCCAACGTGGCTTATTATTATTTTCAATACTCTAATCCTTCATGTCTGAATATATTCAATAGTTATTACATTGACATTTTGTTCACTGTGCCATTTCAAAATCCTGGGCTACTGAAGCAGTCCATACCTGAAAGCAATAAGACCTGGATAACTTTTAGCATGGGCTGACAAGTGGCATGTAATATTCAAGCCACACCAGTGTCAGGCAAGACAGAATCTAACCTTAACATATAGCAGCATTACCAAAGCTGAAATCGCCCATTAACATAACTGGAGATCTCTTGACTGGAATCTTGATTGGACAGCCATATAAATACGGTGTCTGTAAGAGCAGTGCAGAGGCTGGGGATTTCAAGAGAAGGAACTCATCCCTAATTCCTCAAAGTAAGTCTACTTGTGTAGGGCACACAAGTCAGGAATGTGATGGGATACTCCCCACTTGCGTGGATGAGTGCTGCTCCATAAACACAGGCTGCTCAACGTCATCCAGGACAAAGCAGCTCCATCCATCACCAACGACATTCACTCCCGCCAAAACTATGCACAGTGGTAGCAATGAGTACCATCTATAAGATGTACCAGAGCAACTAAGCAGGTCTCCTTCAATAGCACCTTCTAAACCCACAACCTTGACTACTTAGAAGGCTAAATGCAACAGATACATGAGAACATGACTCTGAAAGATATCCCACCGTCACACACCATCCTGACTTAAATCTATATTGCTATTCCTTCGCTGTCACTGAGTCAAAACCCTGGAACTCAGTTCCTAACAGCACTTTGGATATACCGACACCAGAAAGAACTGCTGCAGCTCAAGAAAGCAGTTCAACACATCTTCTCAGGAGCAATTAGGGAACGTATTCTCACCTGTATCATAAAACATCACAGTTGTACAAAATTGACTTTTTTAAATATTGAATTAACAATTGATATTAAAATGAAACAAAATATTAATGCAGAATGATATCCGCTCAATTTCAGAAATGCCAGTGGCTAGATATTAAAACCTAGTCAATTTCCACCGTCTGCTATTTCTGCTTCAATTTATGATCATTTTACAATATTATTTGTCCTGTGTAAATATATCAACATTAAGAAGCTGATAAGGTATTGTATTCTGAATTTCAATTTAACCTCATTTAATACAACTTCAGTATAGTTCATGGTATTATGGCTAATGAATTTACAGATATAAATATTTGATTCCGCTTTACTTTGAATCCTTGACTAATAGAATAAGTGAACTTGTATAAAGATCAACACTATTCTGACATAAAAGCAAAAAGTGTTAGAGAAACTCAGCAGGTGTGGCAGCATGTGGACAAAGAAACAAAATTAACGTTTCCAATCCAATGTGATGATTCTTTGGAATGGAAGGGGGATGGCAAATAATAGTTTTTAGGCTGTTGAAAATAGCGAGTGGAACAGGTGGTGAAATTGCCAACAGCGAGAGACAAAGGGAGTGCTAACTACAAGTTACAGCTCTCTCAACGGTGATGAGATGAAACAAGAGTTAGCTTGTGTTTCGGTTCTGTTCACTGAGGGGGTAAATGTTGGTAAGGGACATTGGCCTTCAGTAGTCTTCATTTCCTGTTATTTAATAGTATCACTGGACTTCAATGCCTACCTGAGGCACCAAACCACACAGAACAGTTCAATATTTCATGTAAAGTGCTATACCACTAAAAAGGCAGTATTGTCTTAGAATTGCATCATCAGGCTGTAAAACGTGTTTATCCTGTGGTTCAAAGTAACAATCTTCTGGCTCAGTGGTCATAATATGTCAGTAACTGAGCGCTTGCTTTTCATGTATTTTGATTACCGTTAGTAACTCCACACAGCAGTTCAATTGATATGAATGAAAATGTTTGCATGTCCGTGGGAACACAGACACCAGGATCCAACTGAAAAGAATTTAAGTACATTAAACAAAGCTTCATGTGGGCTGTACCTAATGTACACTGAGTTTACTTGGGTACATACACAGATCACAAGACATCGGAGCCAAAACAGGCTATTCAGCCCATCGAGTCTCTTCACCATTCAATGATATAATGGTTGATCTGATAAACCTCATTCCGCTTTCCTACCTTTTCACCATAACCTTTGATTCCTTTAATGATTAAAAATCCATGTGGGTCAGCCTTGAAATGTACTTAACAACCCAGCCTCTAAAGCTCTTTGCAGTAAGTAATTCCATAGATTCACTACTCTCAGAGATGAAATTCCTCCTCTGTCTTTAATGGGTGACCCTTTGTTCTGATATTATGCCCTCTGGTCCTAGACTCTTCCAGAATGGAAAATAATTTTCTGCATCTATATTGCCAATTCTTCTAAGAATCTTGTATATTTCAGTAAGAATACCCCTCATTCTTCTAAACTCCAATGAGTATACACCCAAACTACTTAACTTCTCTTCATAAGAGGGTCTCCCCATCCCGGGATGAGCCAAGCGAACCTTCTCTGAACTTCTACCAATGTCAGTATATCTTTTCTTAGATAAGGGGATCAAAACTGTTTGCGGTAAGCTAGCTGTGATCTAGTGGCTAGTGCCTTAAATAGTTTTAGTAAAACTTCCTTATGTTTATACTCTATCCCCTTTGAAATAAAGGCCAACATTCCATTTGCCTTTCCTATTACTTGCTGAATTTTGATGCTAGCATTTTGTGATAAGGACTCCCAAATGCCTCTGTGCTGTTGCTTTCTGCAACCTTTCACCATTGAAAATTAAATTCAGTCCTGTATTCTAGTTGCCAATGTGCATAACTTGAAATTTTCCCCACAACATATTCCCTTTATATTTAATTTGCCAAGTTTTTGCCCACTCACCCAACCTTTGCAGATTCTGTGTGTCATCCTCACCACTTACCTTCCCACCTATTTTTGTGTCGTCCACAATCTTGGCTACAGAACATTCATTTTACTCATTCAAGTTATTAATATATATTGTCATTACTGTGCTCACAGCACTGATCTCTGTGGTAGACTACTGCTTGCCATCCTAAAAAATGCCCGCCTTTCCTTGCTCTCTGTTTTCCATTAGGTAGCCAATCCTCTATACATGCTAATATACTACCTCCAATACCAACAGCTCTATCTATGCTTAGTGACCAAACCCAAAATCAGCCTCAGCCAGAGCTGATTGGTTGTCGGAGTAGGAGTTGGCTAAAGTTATTCGGGACAGTCCCAGCTTTACATGGTATTGCAGTAGACTTGCTAAACTTACAAATTATATCTGAATAATCTGAGTAAAACCTACAAATCCTCTTCCACCAAAAAAGATTTAAATTTACTTTATAGTATAGTTAAACTCCAACTAAAATATATTCTAGAAGGAAACATGTTTTTATAGATGTTTATAAAATCATGAGAGGCATGGATAGGGTGAATAGCCAAGGTCTTTTTCCCCAGGGTGGGGGAGTCCACAACTAGAGGGCATAGGTTTAAGGTGGGAGGGGCAAGATATAAAAGGGACCTAAGGGGCAACTTTTTCACACAGAGGGTGGTACGTGTATGGAATGAGCTGCCAGGGGAAGTGGTGGAGGCTAGTAGAATTACAACATTTAAAAGGCATCTGAATGGGTACATGAATAGGAAGGGTTTAGAAGAATATGGGCCAAATGCTGGCAAATGGGACTGGGTTAATTTAGGATATCTGGTCAGTATGGACAAATTGGACCAGAGGGTCTGTTTCCATGCTGTACAACATTAAGACTCTATGACAGTCTGACAATATGATTGGATGCAGGACCTCACGAAGACAGTGGGCATGTCGATAATGTCGTCATTCAAGGTTTGGCTTTCTTCGGAAGGTGATTTTCCAAATAATTGCTCCAAGTCTGCAGCCAACCATTAGGTGGAGGTTGGGTAAAAAACATCAAAAAAACCATTTTAAAAGACTGTTTAACCTAGGCACTCAAGTGTCCAAACACAACACCCAAAACTTTTATTTTATATTAAAAATAAATTCCATAACCAACTTACCACTAAGTCAAGAAAGTTGATGTAGTGCTGAAGTTCAGGCTGTGCTTCACAGAACTGACGAAAAAGTAGTCTTCCAATTGGCTGCTTCTCACATAGGCTGGAATAGTCTCTCTCTACATGAAAAGGAGGCAAAGATTGGGCAAAAGGAAAAAGTGTTTTATATATCATTTCTTTAATACGCTTTTAATTTGTACTCAAATCCAATTAATTCTGCTTCTATTTTCAAAATAGAAAGACTGCAATTATTGTACACTTATCGAATGTGTAAAGATGTGCTAATGTATGGATGTGCCAGCTGTCTACACTGGTTGACATTGCTGCCACTATCCGCTTGAAGTGAGAGAAAATACAGTGCCTGTTTACTCTAGTATAGTGGAGGAAAGCTACTACCTGGTCTGACTTAATGTTACCAAGTTAGCCTGGACATTGTTTAAAAGATTTTGAACTGGACTAGATGTTTGGTTACACTCCTTTGAAATCCGAGGCTGTTCTGTCCACAAGTCCATATGACACCAAATGCTTGGCGGAAGCAAGTATTAACCATTTCAGACTATTTTCAACCGATGCTACAAACAAACAAGCCTGATGCACTGAAAGTACATGAACTGAAAATTAGTCCTGCAGTTTGAAAATATGTTCACTGGCGAATTTGTCATTTTGCTTTCTGTATAATTTTTTCATGAGCTTAAGTATCCTATGAATAACACAGTGACAAACTATACTGTTCAACAATATACAATTTGAGTCTAGACACTTCCTAATGGAAAGGCAGGGTAAATATATAACTGAGACAGTGAATTAATCCAGTTGACATTTTCAGTCATAGTAGTATGGGACTGTGAGAAGATCACCTACCCAACATGAAAGTAAAAGGATATTTTGAGTGGGTTGAGGCTGGGGAATTTTGTTTATTAAAATTTTCCACCACCATTCATGTCTAGATGTGGCAGGTCTCCAGAACTTTAATGTGATCGTATGTTTGTGGGATCTCTGAGCTTTGAATACAGCATGCTGTTGCTGCCTTACAGTGCATACGTAGTCCCTTAAAAACAAAATTGTAAAACTACAATAAAAGATATTACAAAGATGGTAATCTTGCAAGGACAAATGTTTGGGGAATTTTACCACTATTATTGATTAAGCAGTTTCTTATATCTAAAGAATGCTCAGATTCAAATTATAGTTTAATAGAATGTCACAAAATAAATGGAAATAGGCTTGGGTTCACACACAATCCAGTGATATTGTTCACAATGAGTTGATGATTTTATAAAAACAAGAGTATTAATCTGGCACTGTTGGCATGATAAGCAGCACAGCTAAAGGACAGTTTAGAACTGAACACGTTTAAGGTGTTTTTGCCCATGAATAGAACTGTATATCATCACAATCTGAAACCTCAGAGTGCAGCACCTCTCAATACTGCATTATCAAATCAGAAGAACAATGTGCAGGTCGAAAGGTGTGCCCGGACAAGATTACTTTCCCTCAAAGCTCAAGAAATTATTCTCTATTCAGTAACTGTTGTATGAATGCTTCCCCATCTCCAAGTATTGTTCTGACTATCTCTCTTTTCATCTGTGAGTGCCTGTCTTCTATTTGTGTTTCTATATCTGTCAGTTTCTTCCTTGTATTTTGTACCTTTCTATTCTGTTTTTATTTGTGCCTGGACATCAGAGAACATGGATGGGGGCTAGGCCCAAGAGAAGTCCAGTCCAGTAGAATGTATAGCATCCGTTGTGGACAAAGGATCAGGTCTGGGTTCCAGCCTGGAAAATTGGTAGGAGGAAAGACCTAATATGGGTGAAATGTTGCCAAATCTTTCCACACTTGTCTCCTAATGGGATATCACACAGATTTGAAAGAAAACAACACTGAAATGTCAGAAAGATCAGTTGCCTCAAGGAGGGTGGATTTTTTTCTTAATGATTTCATTGGTCTAAAATCACTGTTACAGAAGTGCCAATCAACTAACATGATCAATAATGGACTGACAGAACTATGTCTCATGCACAGCATTCCAGGACAGTCTGCTGTGAAAAATCAAACTGAAAGCTTTCTAGCTGTTCCAGCAAGTGTTAACAATTGTAACCTTCTATAACACTATACGAAGATGAATCCTCTATTTTTCATGTTCAAAGCAGTTGTGCATTAATTACCATCTGCAGAATCAAAAGAACCTACAACCAATAAAGGACAAATATAATAACAGTAAGGAAGGACACAATTTCTGATCAAATGCACCACCTTAGATGGGAGGTTCTCCGGAAAACCCAGGCCAATTGCTAATATTAGGATTGCAGACATATGTCAAACACATTTATATTAGTCAAACTATTTGGCAAAATTTTAAGTTTACAACACACCAGCAATGGAGTTCTGCAAGAGTGCAGACAGCAGAAAAATAAGCACGCTGAATTAATTTGTAACTTTTGTTTAAACGCAACCACAGTATTAACATATCATTTCCCAATTTATAACCAATTATTGGAGTTGGTGTGATGAAGTGACTTCAATTTCAGTATTTAAAGAATATAAAAAAGGCATCTTTCACTTAGACAGAAAATAATGAGCTGCTCCTGGACTGCTTTGACTGACTGGACATCTTTGATGTAGTGGAGAAAAACATAAACCGTCCATTTTATCAGTTTTAACAGGCTCCATTATTCACACTTCCAGAGCTATTATTATAGCTGAGCCCCTTATGAATGTTTGGTTGAGTTTCAGAAGCTGTTGAATCATTTATCGCAGCAGAGGGAGTGTTCATGCTTCTATTGAGAGTTTCAAGAGATTATTAAAGGATTATCTCTCTTTGATGTGGTAAATCAAATACATGATTGTTTGTTTTCACAACAGATTGATCCTGAGAGTATTTGCATTTTTTAAATGCATTTTACGAATGAGAATTTTTTTTCAGTATAAAGTATATTGGAGTGAGAGCTGTATTAAGTTGTTACAATTTTCAATTTTCATCTCCATTTCAAATAAATAGCCTGCGATCCACCCATAGTGAATACCGGGTAAGTGGCTACAGAGAATATATGGAATGTATAGGAGCATAGACATAGTATGGCAATTGAGGAATATGAGGGACTTGGAGGGGAATGTGGCATGGTGAGGGTTTGAGGGCCTGATACTTAATTAAAATTGGGGTGATTTCCCAGTAAACGGAGGTGGGCAATTTAACCTGCCAACTTGATGATCCAACAGCCACAAGTCTACCTTGGAATGTGATGGACCCAACCCTGTCCTGTCCCACCTCTAAGTGAAAAAAGGCAGGTGGGGGTCTTTTCAAAGATGACATGTCTGCCAAGTTAGGAAGTTTCAAAGACACAGGCTTCCTGACACGTCCACTAAATTCTAGCAGTGGGTAGCAGATACAGCTGCTAAATTTCAAAGTTTTGTTTTAAATTCCTATATAATGCCACACCTATTACTCCAGATTTGATCATAATTGAAGAACCCCAGAATTACAACCTTGGTGCAACAGCAAAGCTCCTAACGATTTCACTCAATTAGCAGAGTCAACCTAGCACCAGAGAAACTGCATTCAGATCAAATTTACTAGTTCTGGCAATCTGGCACTCCTTTTCCTGGCTAAAATTCATTTCTTACTGTGGAGTAACCAGGGAAAGTTGGTGCAACTATATAAGAGAACAGACAACTTCCATAGAGAAACAATAAGGAGCATAATTAATAATCAAGGAGTAAAACAGATTCCCACCTCTAAACAGGAGGAAATCACTTTGGTGTACCTGATAGCAAAGAAATCAACCTCCCTTGATTGTTCATGAAACATTTTTGCGCAGTCTATTTTGAAAAGTGATTGCAATGTGTGAACAATTTTCCAATAAGTTATATTTACACGTGATAAAGTGGAACCAAGACTAAAAATAATGGAAGACTTGCATTTATAGCATCAGGATTTCCCAGGTACTTCGCTACCCCTTAAATACATCTGAAGTGTAACTACTGTTATGGACCAGACCAAACCCTGTCAAAATATATTAAGAAGAAAGCCTACACTCTAACTTTTTCTTATTTTAAAGGTATGTGTAAGGCATTGCATTCCTGATGAAATTCAATTGGTCAAACTACTTTAAGCAAAATGTACTTTATTTTTACACTACAGTTAAAATACAGACAAAATAAAAATAAATTGGCTTAACTGTAACTATCAAAATGCTTAACAAAACAATATATATTAGCTACTCCTAATTAACTGTTCCAATATTGTAATATCCCATAAACACACCCTTGGCAAAGGCAAATTCAGTAAAATAGATTGTCTCACATGCAATTCTAGCAGCAGGAAGAGAACCCACCTCTCAGCTGTAATAGATGGAGACAGTACGAGAGAGAGAGATATAGCAGTTTTCACAACTCCAACAGCTACTGCTGAAGGCTAAACGAAAAATCCTGCTTGTGTGGGTACTTGACCCCACACACTGGGTTGGTCAGCAGCACTAGCACAATAATGACAGCTGGCTGCATGCCGAGTGGCAGATGTGGCTTCTCCAGGCTATAGGAGGCGGTGGCAGCATCAAGTGCATTTTTTCCCTATTCAGGGCTGATGGCAGCAGCAGCGAGGTCGTTCTCCCAGCGCTCGGGGACTGGCGACAGCGGCAAAGCTCCCTCCAGTGGCAGCAGGCTCTTCAAGATGGCGGTGCCAGCAAGGCAATATCTGCAGCCAAAGCAGGAATCATGGCCCAACAAAGGCCTGGCCTGGCAGCGGAGCCAGGGACTCTTGGTTGTGGGGCGAGTGTGGGTTCAGTAACATCAGTGAAGTGGGCACAGTGGCGAACAGCTGGCGCCTAAACTTGGGGCGACTCCTACAAGTGGGGTGTTGGTGGGTCTGGTGCAGGCAGCAGAAAGGCAGTTGAGGTCTCCCTTGAGGCTTGGTGATGGCATGAACTGAGTCGGAAAGACTCCTATTCTGAACTTTTTACTTCTTATTTTTCTAATTTATTCCTATGACCTCTAGTGCTGGACTGTTTTTCTTACTTTTCTAATTTCTTTTTGTTTCTTAAGAATTTGATCTTGTGTATCTGTACCTAGGTACCTTTGTACCTAAAATGGCACTGTAATGCAGTGACCGTAAACTTTTCACTGT